ATTCCACCTGCAGTTCCATAAGCCACATGGTTTTTTCAGGATGCCCTCCTCCAGGAGGCCTCTCCTGCTAGCATGCCCCCATCCTGCTGAGTCTTATGCTCCTCCTTTGGGTTCCTCTGATGCATACCATTATGTATCTGAACAGCTAACACACACACAATATGTCACCTTCCTTAGATTTTCTGTTCCTTGAGGACCAGGAATGAATTTTCATCATATCCCAGCAACTAGCATAGCTGCTTGGTTCTCAGTAAACACTTAAAAAATCCTTATTGACTGAACAAGTGACATCATGAATGGAATGAGGAATTTATAACTATAAAAATACTATTTATCTGATTACACAGCCCTAGAGCATGGATGGTATGTCTGCCTCATAGTGAAACCTCCTTGTAAAACACTCTGCTCAACGACTGAACAATTTACATTTTATTCTCCAAGTGCCTGGAGACAAGATTCCTCAATCCTTAGAAAAGAAGCCAAAATTTTCAGCAGCTCTACAAAGAGGTAGAAAAGACAGAAGATTTCAGACAAAAGCTTCAAGAAAAGTCTTAAATGACCATTAAAAGGGGCTAATAAAATGTCTCCTCCACTGACTTCAGTCTGTTGTATTATGGTGGTTTGTGCTGTATTTCAGATACCAGCAGAGTCACCCACAGTGAACAGGGTTCAGTGGAATTCCAGATTAAGACATGCTAGAAAGACAGACCTGGGGACCTCCTTCTGAAAATTAACCAATAAAAACTCTATGGATCACAACACAATATTATCTGAAATGAAGTTGGAAGATAAGCCCTTAGGTTGGAAGGCACTCAAAATACAAGTGGATACAACAAAGTACTCATGCATACCAACAATCCTGAAAGATGGCGCAGGACCAGAAGACCTTTCATTCTGTTGCACATGGGTCACCATGACTCAGAGCTGACTCAATGGCAACTTACAACAACAATAAAAGGTTTCAGAAAGGACTTAAAATAAAAAAAGGCTTTCCCACAGCACACCAATAGCTCCTGTTACAAAAACTGTTGTTAATCCCTCAGCTCAAAGATAGAGCCCACAGGTGGCTGTGCCCATTTTACCTAATGAATTTTTACAATTATCTAATTTTCGTTCATCTTCTCCCTCAAGGTGAATATCAATAATGTTAATAAAATCATGACTTCTACTGAGGGCTCCTGGCCCATATTTTATTTTCCATCTTTTATTCAGAGATAGCTAGTGTTGAATAAACCAAGTTTCCATTCTGGAGGCTATAGATAAAAATAGCTGCATTGCTCTGAATAGATAGTAATTTCCAATGCACACTAATGAAGTGAAGTTTTCTGTCCTACAAATGTAAAATGCTGTCCTACTCATATCCAGAGCATCAGGTGCTCTGTAGGATACCAAGCCAAATAAAAAGTGCCATTTTAACCAAGCCTTCACTGAAGATCCAGATTCAAACAATTCCTGCCTCCATGAGCCTCAAAGTGAGTTACAATCCCCTCTGCTACACCACAGCTTCTGTTACTGCCACTCAAGCCAGAGCATAAGTAAAATCGAGATACACTCTACGGATCACGTAATACACAGTTTCCACTTCCCTGAGACCAGAAGAACTAGATACTGCCCAGCTACCACTACCTACTGCTCTGATCAGGATCACAACAGAAGGTCCTGGGCAGAGTGGGAGAAAATAAAAAAGTGAACAAAACTCAAAATAATAAAAATGACCAGACTGGTCTGATGGGGACTGGTAGAACCCCTGAGACAGTGGTCTTTAGATACCTTTCAAACCTGGAATTGAAACCACCTCCAGGGGATAACTTTCAGCCAAACAATAGACAGGCCTACAAAGTGACACATGAACAACAGCAGCAGGGAGGAATGTACACCTCAGAACAATCAACCATACAAGGTCAAAAGGGCAAAAACAAAGCTATGAAGGCTGAAAAGAGCAGGAAAGGATGAATGGAAATGAGGAACCCAGAGAAGAAGTGGAAAGAGTGCTGTTACATTGTGGGGATTGCAACTACTGTCACAAAATAAAACAGGCATACATTGTTGAATGGAAAACTAATTTGCTCTGCAATCTTTCACTCAAACCAAAATAAAAAGTTTTAAAAAAAAGAGTTTATTATCATTAGAATCTTGTATTTGACCTACACATTCAGGCCAAGTGCAATAGACAGCTGTTATTTTTGCCCAGTCAGCATACACTCCCTCTTGTTCTTATAATGGCACCTTATGTCGCTTTCAAAAACCAGTTCTCCAATTCTCAGTTCATGTGGGATCAGGTGGAGTTGGATAATTCTATTCCACCTCCAGTGGGAGACAGGTCACTCAGGCCTGATCAATCATGACACTCCTTTGACCACAGAGATATGATCAGGAATAGGTCCATGACTCAATTAAAGTTTGCTAGAGCCACCAGGAAAGAGGAACTCTCTTTTCCAGCCATTTTATCATTAGGAAAGGAGGTTTAGGGCATGGAGGGTAGATATTTTTGCCAGAAGGTAGGACATAACAAGTCTTTTTCTTTCTATATGCCCAGGACCTAGAACTAAGTCTCATATAATATAAAACCAAAAACAAAACTCATTGCCATCAAGTCAATTCTGACTCACAGCGACCCCCTTTGGGTTTCCAAGGTGGTAAATCTTTATAGAAGTAGATTGCCCAGTCTTCCTTCTGCGGAGTGGCTGGTGGATTTGAACTGCCAACCTTCTGGTTAGCCATCAAATGGCTTATGCTCTATGCCACCAGAGCTCCTTATACAACATAGGTCCCCAACTTGTTGAATTAAGCCACACAGCAAACAAAGACAAAAACAAAATCAGAACTACCACTACCATTATTCACCTCTCCAACAACACTGAATTTCCTGAATTTAGATTAGACGGCTAAGTGTCAAGGTTAGATAAGGTCATCTGCACATAAAGTAAAACACTGGAAACCAAGGAAAGCTGAGAGACAAAGAACTGCCTCTGATGAAGTCATTTGCTTAACAAGGCTACTTTAGGTTCTGTCATTACATTAAGAGTCCTTGAAGGCTTGAGGGTTATGCTCTCATTAACTACTCAAGGATTAATAGCTTAGGATACCTCCAAACATTACAGAAAGTGAATATAAGAACTGGTTAAAGACAACCCATACAATACCTCTAAAAGGATAAAAACTTACATATCTTATAAATGTAATTCAAAAGATGCTGGCACCCAATCTCATTCTGGAACCAACAGGAAGATGGGCCATTTAAAATGAGAAATGTTCAGTACTGAACAGAAGATTCCAAGTGAAAATATTAGACAGACCAATGTGTACATATAAATAAGGCACCTGCCCTGTGAATGACAAAGCAGAAAAACAAATACAGGACTTTCTCTTTAGATAGGAGAGAACGGATTATCAATTATCATGCAAGGAGAGAGGGAATTTAGATCAAGGATGGCCAATACACACTAAAACAGTATCCAGGACTTCCCACCACACAGAACATAAACATGAATAATGCAGGGACTCCTGAAGAATAACAAGAAGATTTTGAATGGCCAATAAGTACACACATGGAACAAACAATAAGAAGTCCAGCTACCAATCTCCTACATTCTCCATGACTGAATGACTAAAGCATGGTCCTGGCCATCATCAAGTTCACAGACTAGTCAGGGAGACCAGGAGACAAGCATATTTAATAATATGTTATGTCAGAGCAAACACACACTTCAGCAGGAGCATAGAGAAATATTGAAGGGGGGGGGGGGCGTTGAAGGTCAGGCTACCTATAGGAAGATATTACCTCTTTCCTAGTCCTAAAAATTTATCAGGATTAACCTAGAGGGAAGAGAAAAGAGATGGAGAAAGGAGGAGGAAAAAGTGTATTAAATACAAAAGAAGGAACACTGGTTTAGGAGTAAGACCTGGGTTTTAGTCCCCTAAGTTTTTTCCACAAACACACCAGTATGCAAAGTCTTGGAACACAGAACAAAGTCATAGTAATTACTATTTTTACATGCTAGCACATAGCACATCCAGGAATTTGACAGCAACATACAAATAACAGTAATAAAGCAACTAAAACCACTTGTGGTCAAGTCTCAGATTCATGGAGACCCTAATCTGTGTCAGGGTAGAAACCTACTCCATAGCGTTTTTCAACAACTGATTTTTTTTTTTTTTTCCCAGAAGTAGATCCCCAGGCCTTTCTTCATTCCTAGGCACCTTGAGATGGACTTGAACCTCCAACCATTCAGCTAGCAGTATCAACCATTTCACCATCCAGAGGCTCAAATAAAACAACTTAAGTCTTTCCTATGTTGTAAATCTAAGGCATTTGACTGCTAACCAGAAGTCTGGTGGTTCAAACCCACCAGCCACTCTGAAGGAACACTGGGCTACTTCCCAATTTTTATTTATTACTCTACTTCCATAGAGATAGCGCCTCAGAAACCCAAGGAGGGGTCCCTATGAGTGGGAAATGACTAGATGGCAGTGAGGTTGGTTTTTTGGTTGGTTAAAGTGCTAGAGATAGTGAGTTAAATAAAACAAGTCCTTTCCTTCAAGAAGCAGAGCTTACTAGAAAAAAATACAGACAATTATACAAAAATGTTGGTGACACTGAAACTCAGTATCGATAAAAAGGCACCAATAAGATAGGCACCTGTGACTTAAACTCGAATCCGTCTGACTTAAAATTCTGAGATCTTTATCAAGATGATGGGGGTGGTGAAGAAGGAGGAAAACGGGTTAAAACCTAAGGGGGGACAACAATCCTCTAACCAAATTACCTAAGGCTGAAAAAATATCGCAGAGTCCTAAGAGACCCAGCCCGTCCTGGGGGACGGAGGGGTACTATTGGGGAATAAAGAGTCTTGGTCAAAAGGGATCAGTACCTGCGCGAGTTTGAGTGTGTTGCAAACCTTCACCTGACTTCCTACCAATCTCTTGCCTTGTCCTTCCCAGTGCTATTATCCACAAACCCAGATAATCCAACCCTCACTCGGGAAACGAGGGAGCACCTTAGGGGACGCAAGCGAGCGCTCTCCGGGGACCGGGCCCGGGGCGTTCGCCTCCCGCGAGTATCGGTGCGCCGCTGCCGAGCTGCCGTGGGCCCCGGGCCGCTGGGGAGCGCCGCACCCGCAGGAGCCAGCAAGGGACGCTGCGCCAGCACCAGCCTGAGCCTCCTCGCCACCCGCTGCCCCGCACAGGAGCAAGAACAGCGGTAGCAACAGGATGCAACTGCGCCCCGGATACCATCTACGAGCTAGCCCTAGCGCGGGCGCAGCCATGTTGTCTAACGAGTCATGTGACCCTTGGGTTCACGTGGCCGTACCCTCCTTAAAGAAGCCAAACCGTGGGCTGACGTATGAAGTGGCACTGAGGTTCCTGTCTCTGCACCTTTCTCCAGGTGTCGTTCCTTTGTAGTTCTCCTTCCTGTTCAGTTGATGTCAAAACGTAACAAAATACAGCGAAACACTGCAAAAATCAAAGGCTCCTATAGTTTTGTTAGGTTGGGCAATCCTACTTCCGTAGTGATACTGCCTCGGAAACCCAAGGAGGGATCGCTATGAGTCGGGGCCGACTCGAACGGCAAAACAACAACAACAACAACCACCTATAGTTTTGTTAAGGGCCATAAAGGGCTCTAACTCATAGAAAGTCCTCGTCAAACAACGAAACACTGGCCGGTCTTTCCCCATCCTCAAAATTGTTGCTACGTTTGAGCCAATTTTTGCAGCCACTATGTCAGCCTATCTCCTTGAGGATCTTCCTCTTTTACGCTAACCCTCTACTTTTCCAAGCATGATTGCCTTCTCCAGGGTCCAGTCCCTCCTGATAAAATGTCCAAAATATGTGAGAGGAAGTTTCATCATCCTCCCCTCTAAGGAGCATTCTAGCTGTACTTCTTCCAAGACAGGTATTTCGTTCTTCTGGCAAACAAATGTTCATGGTATTACTATTTTTCACCAACACCATAATTCAAATGTATCAATTCTTAAGTTTTCCACATTCATTGTACAGGTTTCACATGAGTATGAAGTGACTGAAAAGACTAGGGCGTGAGTCAGGTGCACCTTAATCTTCAAAATGACATCTTTGCTTTTTAATACTTTAAAGAGTTCTTTTGCAGTACATTTGCACAATGAAATATATCCTTTGAATTCTTGACTGCCGCTTCCATGAGCGTTTATTGTGGATCCAAGTAAGATGAAATCCTTGACAACTTCTATCTTCTGTTTGTTTATCATGATATTCCTCACTGGTCCAGTTGTGAGGACTTTTGTTTCCTTAATGTTGAGGTGTAATCCACACTGAAGGCTGTAGTCTTCATCAGTAAGTGATTGAAGTCTGATGTCCTTGATGTCATCCCACAACACATCTGGTTTCGGTCATTAGTGTTCAATGCATCAAAACTATTCCTGAGATGGTACCTAAATTCAGGTGGGATATACGCAAGGTCAAACTTTGGTACTCGTGGACTTGTTTTAATTTTCTTAAGCTTTGGAGCTCTGGTGGCATAGTGCCTAAGGCATTTGACTGCAAACCAGAAGTCTGGGAGTTCAAACCAAACAGGCACTCATCAGAAGGAAACGGGGCAATCTACTTCTATAAAGATATTGCCTCAGAAACCAAAGGAGGGATCCTATGAGTGGGAATCAATTCCACAGCAGTGAGTTTGGTTTGTTTGTTTGTTTTTGGTTCAATTTGAACTTGCATATGAGCAATTTACAGACTTTTCCACAGTCAGCCCCAGGCCTTGTTATGACTAATGATATTGAGCTTCTTTATTGTCTCTCTTTTTTTTATATTTTATTGTGATTT